ACTCCAAAGGAGATAATAACCAGCCCCGTTGCCATCTGACAAACAGCACAATAGTATCAGCTACATTACCACTAGATTTCTTTCCTTAGGCTATGTGACTTATGAGCTCATCTTCCCCACTTAAATCCACGGTAAATACTTTTTTAAATTTTATGACTTAATCATTTATTATTTCATTAATGTATTTATGCTGCAGCAGTGTAGCCACAGTTGGTGACTGTTGCTCAAGAGCTTATTGTATTTGTCAGAGTTTCCCAACTATTGCAAGCTTGCAGGACTGAAGCCATCAGATTTCACTTGTGTGACCTTTTGCCCATTTAAATCAAGATTTATGTCTGCGTGTGTATTTGGTCCAGAGCTCTGCAGCTGACGGTCCCAGGGGTCTGTCAGTTGGGGACATAGTGACAGGCCTGGAAGACTGTCCCGTCAGGGGAGTGGAGGACTGGACCAGCTGCCTGTCTCACCTCGCTCACACACCACAGACGGGATACTGCGTCCCTGTCGCCAGCCTGCAGCCCAGCTGGGCTCATGGACGAGGTGGGTGAGGAATTTGTTCAGCAAGGCCACCGGACTTGCTCTATCAAGACATAAGAAAGCCGTATTATTTCATAGTTTTGTATGTACGCCTCCAATAAAGAGCCAGCTGAGTACCTCTACCTGGAGACTTGACTGTATTAAATCGTAATAGCATCATAAATTAACGTCTTTCAAAAGGCAGCTATTAAACGACTTTATTAATCACTTGATTTAAACATTAATTGACCTTGTTTTGTCATCACTACAGTGGGCCACTTAAATATTAAACGGGGTCACAGTTACAGAGCAGCAACAGGAGCTCCGATTGGCCAAGTGTCAACTCATGTGGGAGGTAATTGTGTAACAGCTGGCCAATCCTAGCTCCTGCTGCTTCTCTGTGGTCTAGAATTTACTCAAGTGATTTAGGAGCAGATGCCCTTAATGTTAATTTTCTATTATAGTCCTAAAAATTTTTATTGACATAACAGCTTAGAGATCAGACATTTATGTCATTTTATTTGTCCTTTGTCTTTCAAAGTCTGTGTCTTGGATGGTTATCTAAAATAAGCTGAAACAAGTTATCACTGGGGATTTTGCTTATGATACTCTTCTTACTCTGGCATTAGTAATTATTGTCATATTAGATATGCAGAACAGAGTCTTTGGGGTTTTTCGCCTGAAGCGCACCAGATTAATGTGCTTTTTACTATGCAGAGTTAAGCCAATGACCTTTTAAGGAGTCCAGAAGACTTTTTAGTCATCGAATAAATTGTGTGATATTGTGTTATTTTTATCTAATCATCCATTTCGAGTCCACCTACTAACAGAACATCTATTTTTAAGATTCTTTTCAGAGTTGTGCTATATTTTCCATTTGTTTCTCTCCCCCCTGTAGCTTTCAAGCGTCTGGATGGAACGATGGACTGCTGCAGCAACAACAGCCTGACCGACCTCTGCTTCTCTTACATTAAATCACAGGGCAGGAGCAGCAGAGAGAGAGAGGTGACACACACTCACTGACAGATGTGGGGGCTTTTTGTGGCTGGTTAGTCATACAAACAGGTCTCAAAACCTTTTAGACAGTCGCGGATATTTATATTACTTCCTTTGTTCACTTCCCTTTTATTTCCATGTGTGACTTTCCATGAGTTTTCAGCTGCGGTGCTGTGAAAAAAGTTTGACACTGTTCGAGTAAAGTTAGGATTTCTATTAGCATTTGGTGTGAGCACACTTTGTCTAAATCACCAGTTCTTCTTATCGCCTTATTTTCTTGAGTAGCCACAGTTCTTCTGTGGGTTTTTATGCCACTTCTGTTACGTTTTGTTCTTGCGATTGAAGATTACTCTGTCAACCTTACATGCTGAAGTGACCCAAATCTGATTGGTTTTGCCCCAGAGTGACAGAGCTTGAGCATCTGCATTCGAGGGCTGCTTTACATGAGAGAGCTGGTTTTATGACCCCTATTGGGACAATGAGATTGAAATTTTTCTGTTTTTTTTTTTCTTGCCTGTCACCACCCACAGCTCTGTCTGGGCTGATGTGCCACCAAATGTTGGTAACACAGCAGCGGTTAAGGCTTATTCTTGTCTTGTCTGCTTACCTCTACAGTAAATTATCCTGAATGTGTACAGTAACACAGTGGCGGCACGGTGGTTAGCACTGTTGCCGCACAGCAACAAGGTCCTGAGTTCAATTCCATCATGCGGGGGTCTTTCTGTGTGGAGTTTGCATGTTCTCCCCGTGTTTGTGTGGGTTCTCTCCGGGTACTCTGGCTTCCTCCCACTGTCCAAAGACATGCAGTTTGTGGGGATAGGTTAATTGGATAATCCAAATTGCCACTAGGTGTGCAAGTGCGAGAGAATGTGAGCATGAATGGTTGTCTGTCCCTGTGTGTTAGCCCTGTGACAGACTGGCGACCTGTCCAGGGTGTATCCCGCCTCTCGCCCAATGACAGAGTTAAATGAAACCCCAACCACTTGTGGCTAAAACCTCTTTGGGTGGAGGTCACAAAAATCTCTGTGTAGGAAAGCCCCTTCCCTGTCATCTCTACTTATGTTGTTACTGTTGTATAAATTAAGGTTTTGTTGATGTTCTTGTGGCTGTGGGGCATTTTCCAAACCCCCATCTGGAGGAAATGAACACCAACAATTAAAGTTTGAATTCTGATACATTTATTTCATAAATTCTGGTGAGTTAGAAGTGTCCCCCAATGACAGCTGTCAATTATCAGTACTGTTTTATTGTTACATAATCTTGCCTGACACTTGCAATGTTGCCTAAAGGGTAAGATGTTGCTTGCTGTAAAGGGACTTAATAAAATTAATAAAGGTTTTTCAGTATTCAAACAAATTTGGCTTCAAGGCCTGCAGTGTGAAGGATAGCCTCTGAGTCTGGCTGTTTGCTCACAATAAGAAAATTATGATTGAATACTTTCTGTTTGCATTTGCTAAAAAATTAAATTCCGCTTACAAAAAAACAAAGAAAATACACGTAGCAGACATCTACAGTAAGCGGAACAAACCGAGCTGTCTTTTCCAATCTTCTGTTCTCCAATTTTGGTCAGCCTGTGCAAATTCTAGCAGACAAGAATAGGACTCTGTGTGGTCTTCTGCCCATGTGCTTCAAGGTATGGTCTTCTGCATACCTTGGTTCTATTAAGTATTTGAGTTACTGTTGCCTTTTCTATAGATCAAAACACACTGGCCATTCTTCTCTGACCTCAAAATGTAATTTTTACCCAGAGAACTGCAGCTGAGTGGATGTTTTCTCTTCTTCAGATCAGAAAGTCGTACAGATGGTTGTGTGGGAAAATCCAAGTAGATCAGCAGTTTCTGAAATACTCATACCAGCCCACCTGACCCCATAACCATGCCATAACCATGCCACTTAAATCACCTTTCTTACCCATTCTGCCATATGATTGGCTAATTAGATATTTGCATTAACCAGTAGCTGAACTGCTCTACCTATCAAAGTGCCTGTTAGGTGTATTTCTGAAATGTCTGTGTTAGGGGATGTCATGAGTTGAGTTGTAGTCACCAAAAATAATCATCTCCTATTTTGCGCTGCTCTCTATTATCGCATTTAAGCTGCAATGCCAGTGTCTCCTCCCAGTCTCAAATGGGGGCGCTTTCATAACCTTGTAACCTTATTTACAGAAAAGAATAATTAGATATACATTTTGAAATACAAGCTGAAAGTGTTTGTGCAGTCGTGCTTTGTATGGAAAAAGACACCGTACCAAAATGAATGGGTGTTAATGGCGGAAACAGAAGCTAGCTAACATGGAGAAAAGCTGCATAGAGTAACTGAAAATCGGTTTTTTGCTTCCTGTGTTTTTTGTGTAATCCTGTGGCTTCAGTACGCCTGCATGCCAGTACGTAAAATGGTGACGGGAACGCGAGTGTGTCATACAGATGACGACTGTGCTGCACATTCCCACACTGCCAGCATTTGCGTCACGCCTTCTCTGGAGAACCAGACTCGCTTCATCCGTGTCACACACCCTCCCAACACGCACATGCTGTTCGTGGGATATCCGCCACACCTGCAGTATGCAGGTACGTACACTTATGTTACCTCCATTTGTGAATGTAGGACATAATTAGCTGAAGCAACCGTTTGTTGAACATATCATTTGTGTAAATCTTGTGTTTTCAGTTTCAAACTTGTAATAAGCAACTGCATTTACTGTAATAAGCAAGTAATTGGTGTTTACAGTGTTCTGTAGATGTTGAACTGACTCTGGGCAAGGCAGAGGGAGTAATCACGAAGAGCCTGGATGTTTTCTCAGCTCATATTTAAGATTCATAAAGTGTTCAGTGGATCAAACTGAGGACCTATATATCCTGTGTTTTCTTATTTCCACAGTGAGTCTGACTAACTTTGTCCCTCGCTTTGGATTCCTCCACCTGGACCTTCCTGTATTCCTAGAAACCTTCTGCAAGTATCCTTTCAGGTTAAAGGGACTACAGTCATAATCAAGGATGGGTGTAAGAAGAATGAACCCTACTCTGAACCCGCAGTGCAACATTTTATCATGTGTTGCATGTTCTCAGTTTCCTCTTTTAGGATTATATAGCATAAAAGTTTCATCTTACTTGATTCCAAATGTCTTTTTCTGAATAAAAGACCCCTTTTTAACATCTAATCAGCACAGTCAAGAGGCCAGATGCACTTTAAGATTGCCTGAATGCAGCCCTTAATTGCATTGCTGTGCACATTTCTGATTGCAGTTCAACCCTTTTTAAGCCGTTTTTACATTTTTGTAGGTCTGTTTTTCTTTGTGACTACTTAACAAAGTAGTTATCTCTTGGCACTGCTGATTGGTACTTGGATTGATTGAAAACGATTTTTATTTGGGCTGAAAAGAACATGGTCTCATTAAGGTCATTAAGTTTATGTTAAGATGACTGTGAAGGGTAAAACTGTATCTCGTTAATGTGAATTCACTTTTTTATTTGTAAGGGTAGGGTGAGTTGTTTCTTCTTGTTATGTAATGCTTTGAAAGTTAAAAGCATGCTCTTTGGTCTTGGGGCATTTTGGATGATTCAACGTTGATGTGTTTTTAATGGTGATCTTTTGAAAACCAGCACTGCTCATATTTGACCAGGTGATTGTAGCGTGCCGCCTTTTCTGATTACTACTGGTGAGCAGCTACCTGCTCATCTAGTCATTTTCAGCTTCCAGTTCTTCCTCAGTAGTATTTTTTTCCCTAAAATCTAATTATATGTTTTATAGTTTTATATCCGTTGCTTACACGTGTACATGCAGTGCTAATTCAATTATGGAAAAAATTCTGTATATAAAGGATGAATGCGTCTTTGGTTTCTAAAAGGTGAAGTCAATGCAGACATGCCTTAAACATTCATTCATAATGATAAAAAGCCAGAGGGTGATTCCTTTGGTCAGACGTCCAATTGTACTAACATGCATTTGGGGAGGGGGAGCCTTTTCCACACTTGATCTGTGCTGTCCTTAAACACATCCCTGTTGGGTTTATGGGTTTATTTCTGACTGACTTGCTAGTTTTAGGTCATGTCAAATCCAGCATCTTGTTCGTTTTTCGAGTTATGTTCCCATTAATGTCAAAAAGGAAGATAAAGAATACAGTATATTTTATTTCCTTTTTCTTTCTTGTGTTCGACAAGAGTGTGCAGTGCCCTTCAGATTCACAGTCAGATTGACTTTGTGATGTACTGTTTCAAAAAGCCAACATGGCAACGGCCATAATGATTAGTTTGAGAGTTCAAACACCAGACTGCACAAACCACTGAGTAACGTCATGGTGGATCCCTTTATTTTTTTTATGGACAGACACTCCAAAGTAACAACTAATTGAGAGTATATTCTAGATAATGCTGTTTCTACTGGTTCTCACTGATGTGATATGCTTTGGCTGAATTAAATGACAGATGTTAAGAAGATGCAATGTAAAAACGTATCTCATTAATCTTTAATTAATAGTTTAATTCCCCTCTCCAACTCCAGTCCTCGAGAGCTGCTGTCCTGCAGCTTTTAGATGCATCCCTGCTCCGACACAGCCCTATCAAATGGTTTAATTGCTTCTTCAGCTTCAAGTTTGACAAAGGCCTGGTAACAAGCCATTCATTTGATTCAGATGTCCTGGAACAAGCATGAATCTAAAAGCTACAGGACAGTAGCTCTCGAGGACTGGAGTTGGAGTACCCAGCCTTACAATATAGATAGAAATGTCCAACAATCACAACCTGTGAACAAGCAGTTGGTGATGGTCAAGAACTCCTGTTTCACAGGAAGAGTTCTGGCAGAATCAACCTCATGGAGGCCACTGCAACTGGTTGAGGAATTAAGGGAAAGTAAAGAGGAATAATGAGAAACCACAAAGGGAAAGTACTAATGGTATGCCTTTGGGAAGTGTAAAGTAGAGCGTCGTGGCAAAGGGCAACTTTTTTGTTCATCATCTGTTTATCATCAACAGCCAGAGCTTATAGTAGCATAACTATGGGACTGTTCAGGGCCTACTGAAGGGAATTTACCAAAATGGAAAGTTTAAGGTAGAGAGTGTGTCTGTGTCCTGAGCCCAAACTGGGAGCTGTCTCAACAGGAGAGAATATTTCTTTCAGACAATTAACCAAATAGGAGTTCTTGAGCTAACTGTAAAGAATGGACTGCTACTGTTTGCTTAGCTGTCCAGCAGACAGAAGTAAACTTTCTCTGCTTCCATTGCTCGCTGCTTAAACTGACACTTAAATAATTGCCTGTTACTGTGTTTCTGTGTTTGTTTTCCTGAGCTGCCCTTCCTCTCAGATACGTGGTGTCCCTCTCTGGCGCATTAGCAGTAGTCAACTCTGTGCCGTGCTTTGCTCTCGATGGTCAGTGGATGCTGAACGCCCTGCTGGAGGCCACGCTGGCCAGTGTGGTAATAGACCGTCAGAAGCGTGAGCTGATTGGTTTCTTCCTGCTCCTGGCAGGCAGTGCCCTGCTGGCGGCCAACGTGGCGCTGGGCCTGTGGATGGTCACGGCACGGTAGCCACAGCGGTCAGCTGCCCCGGTGGACTGAGATATGTTGTCTCAGGATGCGTTTGAGTGTTGTGGACCATTAAACTGTGAACAGACTGCATTACCCAGAAGCACTGCCCACCTTGTGGAGACTGTTGAGTATAACATCACTCTGCCTTTAAAATTGGACCACCAGGGAAAACAACTTTAATCCACCTTGTTGCTGCCATAAATCCAAAAGCACACAAACAAGTTAACAAATGCACTTGCTGTAAAGCACTGTCCTATGTGACTGTTTACAAAGACTGTACTGATGAAACATGTGTGTTTGTGTTTTTCATTACGTTGATTCCAAAAATGCCATATTTTCCTGTGTAACTAAGCTAACCTGTGGACACAAAAACGTTTAAGGAGCTTTCTTTTGTTTTCTGGTGAATGCATGGCAATATAATAATCTTGAATTCCTTATCACTGTTGAAAAACTTTACTACCTACTGTTCATGAAATCATGAATTATTTAATTAAATGAATGGACTCCTATCAATTTGACCCTATTTAAATGGCGTCTATCCTTCAGATTGATCTGGCATTGCAGTGCGAAAATTGCTTTCTTTTTCACTCACCTTTTCTTTATGTGTACGTTTTATTTTTTATTATATGTCTGCCATATAGTTGCAAAAGTCAATTTCTAGAAATTGTGAAATAAAAATAACAGTTTTTCCTCTTTCTTTCCTTTTTCTTTTGTCTGTTGAAGACACTGTTGGTATGTCTGGCAAGTGTTTTCCCACTTTATACTTCTACTACACATGTCTTACTTTTATTCATCAATTTGTCATTTAGTGACAAAACATTAGATATCATAATTTATATTTAAGCAAAAAAAAAGATCATTTTGTGTAATATGTGCAATTTTCCCTATGAAGCAGTTAACATTACCTGCACTGCAGCAGTGACAATACTGTATACTGTCACAGTGATAATACTGCATTTACAATAAAACAGCAGCAACAAAGATGATATGACAAGAAAATTGATTATAATGAAACACATTAGAAGTGCTTAGGATAGAAAGGTCCTCACACTTCAGTAAGATTTAAACAATGAGAAATTAAACTCACTGACCACTTAAGCCATGTGCACATGTTCAGCTTCTTGTTAATGCTAACATCTAATCAGCCAATCACATGGCAGCAATTTGGTTAATTTAGGCATTTACATGTGGTCCTCGTGATGCTAAAGTTCAAACTTCAAAAGGGAGTTGATTTATATGACTTTACATGTGTTCTTGGTGCTGGTCTGAGTATTTTAGAAACTGCTGATTTACTAGGATTTTCTGGCCATCCCCAGCAGTAACTCAGATACGCACCTGTTGGCGAAGAGCATCACTGAACACACAACATTTAGATGGTAGCGCCAGAATTGTGCGCAAACAACATGAAAGCAAGTGGTGTAATGGTATGGTGTATATCTTATGTGTATATCTTATATGTATATCTTAGTACCCTCAGTACCAACTGAGCATTGTTAAATCACCACAGCCTACCTAAACATTGTTGCTGACCCTGTCTGTTTCTTTATGCCCATATTGACAACTTCTGAAAGCTGTTTCCAGCAGGATAATGCCCCATATCACAAAGCTCAAATCATCTCACACTGGGTTCTTGAACATGACAATGTGTTCACTGTACTCAAATGGCCTCCACAGTCACCAGTTCTAAATTCGATAGAGCAGCAGGATGTGGTGGGACTGCAGACTGGCTTCATGGATGTTCAGCTGACAAATGTGCAGTAACTGTGAAACGGAACCAAAACGTCTGATGACTGTTTCCATCACCTTGTTGAATCTGTAAGTGTGAAAAGAATATTAAAATAAAAGAATTTACATAGTGTGAGTTTAAGCTTGGAAGGCATGAACAAGTTGCCTTTTTCATTATTATGCTTTTGGCTATGATACGCGTTATCTTAATACAGGGTGTTCACGTGCAATAAAACATTTTTCTTCTCCTTACATAGTTTGATGGAGCCAGTGTTGTATAGCTCATCAGCAGTGGAATATAAAGTATTCAGATCTTTTACTGTAGTAAAAACAGCCATACCACTGTGTAGGAGTACTCTGCTACAAGTAAAAGCTGTGGTCGCTGTGGTCTGTCAGGGTTGCTAAAGGTCATACGCCTGATCTTTCTCTCAGGAGGCTGCAGAGCACCTTTCTAACTTTATACCCGGCATGTTCCCAGCATATTGGCCCATTGTATTCCTCAGATACTGTAACAAAAGCACACAAGCTACACTTTTAGTAACAGTGCCAAACCACAGTGTTTTCACAGAGCCGTGCAGTGATTATGTTTCTTGAGTGCGTGAGCGAGAGGATTGACACATTGTAATTTGGAAGGGTGTTTCCCACAGACTGTAAATACTGATTGGCCTTGAGCTTAGCCACAGAGGTGTGTTTAGTAAGATGAGCAGACACCTCTGTCAGCAGGTTCAACATTGAGGCCACTTTGGAGACTCTTATCACTGAATAATTAGTGCAGTGTATGTCCGTGGGAAGATCGGACCATGTTGCACGCATGAGTCTGAGGACTTGGCGTCTTTTGCGTGTGTACATTCGTCCTCTGATAAGGCACATTGGAAGCTTATTTTTTTTGCCAATCTATGCAAACAGATTGCTTATGTGCCCTTGCGTGTGTGCTTCTGTTGCTTATCTTGCACTAATGACAGCCTGCAGGGATGCTTGGGTAAACAGACATGGGAGGATGATGAACAGTAGTGAGGGAGAGGGCAGAAAAGAGGCATGTTCTGCCTGTCTGGTTTATAGTGAGAAATTGCCCCTAATTTAATGCTGCAATCTCCCCCATTTACCTATAATAAAGGGCTGCTGTCATATTTTAGTGTTATTATTCTTACATTTGTTTGATAGCACTAAATACAAATGTGGCTGCGACTAATGGGGATGTC